CGTAACCGGAGATTTTCAGTATTCTCCCGTATATCTAGGTAATAAACAGAGACAAACAAAATGGCTCCTCAGTTGAAAGGACTGCTCTACCGTTCCATAAAGCGAGATTTAGCCCTGGGGTTCTTGATCTCGTTCTCCGCAGGTTCAGTCTGGTTGTTTGGAGTCTTTTTCCCTCGGAGGAAGAGATACGAGGACTTCTATAAAAACTATGACGCCAAAGCAGTGGCCGAGTCTATGAAAGCTTCTTGGGAAGAGTGAAGGTATAAAGAAATACTGTGCACTTAGAAAATGTAGAACTTAGAGTGTATAAAATGTGTTGGGTCGCCTTTGGAAAGGTTCTGCTGATTAAATTTTGTTCACATGCATGCCCCCTGGGGGTTAAATTTTGGTGAAATTTGTCTCCACTAATTTTCATTTTTTTAATTAAAATTTTTCATTTTAGGATCTACATAGTCTCTCACCGTCTCAAACTGAACTAGTTGCAAACTTTCAATGTACTTATAGCTTAATGACATTATCTAGTAGACTAGAGTATTTTATTATTAATAATTTATCATAATAATAATAATGATTGTAAAAATTATTTATCAGCTGAGAGCTGATTGGTGAGTTGCACTGTATGAATCATCTGTGTTGTTTCCTGCTGCTGAGGCTGATAATGAAGACAGTTAACAAATTTTCTCCTAGCTATCTCTGATGAAATATTGCCATGTATACACAGTTCAATGTCTTAAAATTTCATAAATCCAGTTTTGATTGGAATCAGCAGATAATTCCAGTAACATTTGTGGGAGTGTAAAAACACCCACACAATTTAATAGATCTAGCTAGGGGTGGGCGATATGGAAATTTTTTGCTTCGATACGATATTATCGATATATCGGTCAATTTTTGTAAATATCGATATTATTTCGATATGATATGGCCACACCCACTACTTTACCATTGTGAGCTGTAATCGCTTGTAATTGCTGGTTGGAAGTGATAAATTCATACCTCAGAGACAGTTTCATATAAGTTTCTACCACTGTAGCAGCTGATATTTAATATATCTAAGTGGCTTTCAGTGAATAAGCTCAATAAAGAACCTGTTAGCTTTACTAAATGGTTTATTAACCTTAATAAATGGGTGTGGTTATTATGTTAACTTTAATAAAATGGTTTATTAACTTTAATAAATGGGTGTGGTTATCATATCGAACGGCCTCTTCA